TTTCTTAACATTTGAATGAAGTTAAAAGTAGTTTTTTACTTTGATTCAGTAAGTGTCTGAGCTATCATATTTAATGTTATCTTAGAAGGGCTTCCAGTACACAGAGCTTTAGTTGGTTGGCACTGACAGGTTATCATACTGATTTCCCCTTCTATAGTCCTTGAGGAACCCTGACTCTAATCACAACGAGCCCTGACAGGCCTTTCACAAATTCAAAATTTGAAGGAGAAAAAAATTAAGGTACAGCAAGATAATATTTTAAGAAGGAAATTTAAACTTAGTTTTAGAACAACGTGCTTTAAAAATGTATACAATTTTCCCCCTGAATTTCTATAGAGTGTCCATATTTTTTATAATTTTAAGACCAATCTACTTAAGTACACAGTATCCATCTGTCCCTTTGTGAGTTTTTTATGCTGATATTAAGCATATGGGGACTTGATCTGATCAATACCTACACGTGTGGACTTCAGCTCTTTTCTCTCCAGATGTTTACTTTATGACATTTCCCCCTTTTTGGTGATATGAGTTGTTCACAGGTAGTGATGCTCCACCAGAAGTTTGCAAGAAGAGGCTGGATGGCCAATTATCAAGGATGTTGTAATGTTGGATTTCTTGTAACTGCAGGGAATTAGACTAGATGACCTTTAGCATACATTCCCATTCTTTGACAAATTTTATTTACTTAGTCAGATGACCAATACTGATTGATGGATTGATTGATTACGTGCCATCAAGATGTTGTCGACACTTAACAACCACATAGATTGTGGTAGGGGGGTGTTCCTGAGAGGGATGGGTGAAGAATATTGGGAGTGTATGCCCCGAGTATATATATTCCCAGCAGGGTCACCCAAGGCATGAAAGTCATCCCACTGCCTAGCTAAAGCAAGCAGGCTCCTATATTGGGCAGCAACGATATAGGAAGATACTGGAGGCAGGTGATCACTTTAGTGACATCAGTGGCAAAGGCATCAAATCATACTACATAGGAGAAGGCAAAGGAAAACTACTCTTTTAGCTCTCATAAATGAATTATAATTTATCCTATCTAGCCCACAATGCTGATATTCTCTAGTCTCCTGCTCAAGTGCTAACCAGGCCTGATCCTGCTTAACATCTGAAGCCTGATGAGGTCAGGCAGATGCTGCCACCTGCTGAGTTAAGATCCATGAAGGCTACAACTAGGCATGGGAATTCAGTGAAACTGTTTCCAAATTCAGTAAGATTTCCATCTGGCTAAAACAGCTACATTTGGCTAGATGGCCACACATAGCACATTTTGGCTGATCTTAAAAAATTAAACAGGGTCAGATCTAAGAATGTGGATCCGAGACCTCTAGGTAAACCCAGGATTGTAGGCTTAGCCTGGGAAGTAAAAAAAAAAATCACACAAAAAGACAGTAGCAAACAAGTTCTGTAATATTGCCAAGAAAACTTCATGGATGTGTCAGCAGGAGTCAAGCTTGACTCAGAGGAATCTTTACCTTATAAGAGTAAAGAGAGTTTGGTAACAAAAGTAGACATATATGGAATTTTACAAATATTTTTGTGATGGAAAAGAAAGGGGTGTTTGGTCTTGATTATGGTGACTGATGTAATGGTCTGTTCAGATTGTTCATGTATAAACTACACCCGTTTGCATTTGGCATACAGGCAGTAGGTCAACTTTGTTCAGTTAGGTGTGGCTCTCATATCTGAAGTACTGTGCCAAAGAAACTCTTAGCATCTAATTTCTTTTATATGTTGCAAATTAATGCAGAAAAGGAACATTGAGTAATAATAGTTTATGATACTGCAAGCAATATTCAAAATTCTGAAGCATATTTATTTTATGGGAGTATTGAATATTTTGGTAGATAAACATTTCCAGTTAAAAATCAATTTATCTGAAGAATAGCTTCATGAATTTCATGTATATATTTGGTGAACAGAAAGTCTCGGTCTGAAAATTTATATTACCGTAGTTTTTAAATAAAATGATTTATTGCTTTTGCTGTAAACCAATATACTTTTCTCTTTGGAGGTTATTTAAATCTGTGTATTACATAAACTTCTGATAAGTGAACTTGGAGAGGAAGAGATTCTTGCTGAGTTATTAGGAATAATACATACATTGAAAATCTGAGTTCATTCGAAGTACCCATATTGGAGCCATAATTGTCCAGGACTGGCAATCCATAGAAATATATTCTATAGTAACTCACAAAAAAGACAGATTCTGGATAAATTGATGTAGCTTCTTCCAGCTTTCTCTGGAATAAAGGTTAGAGTTAGCAACAGCAACAAAAACAACAACATGATAACTAATGATAACTTCCATTCTTCTCATGCATTTATTTTAACATCTTATTTCTGCCTTTCTCTTTTCCATTAAAATTAAATGGTACGCGGAACTTGCACTGCATGAAAATAGATATATCTATTCAGCATTGAATGGGAAGTGAGGGGAGAGAAAATAGTTTATTTTCTGCTCTTTCAGTTTTTACCATTAACAACAAAAACTGGTAGAGATCATATACTTTGCAGTGAGAGGTTGCCAGTTTCCATGTGTCACCAGGGCTGAAAGCTAGAAGCTCTTCTCTGAAAACTGAAGAGCGCCTATGGGTAACATCGTGCTCTCCAGAAGTGTAGATAACATTCAATTACTTGAATCAATGTTGTAACCTTGTATAATGCTATTTTCTATATGGCTTGATATCATTCTGGTTCACCAAATACACAGCTTTATCCTAATGAAAATTCTGCATATCCAAGAAATAATATTAGAAACATAATGATAGAATAATCTTGACAAATTCCTAGATTAAAAATACTGTTAACATTAAATTGAATAGTAAGGCAGAATGTTTGGGATAACATTTCAGGTATCTTTTCAGGGAAAGCTTGAGCACAGGGAGTGTGCAGGTGATCTACACGCAGAGTAGATCATTTCATATGTGAAGTACCAAAACTGAAACAAAATCGTGCCTGATAGAAGGTAAAGGGACTCAGAGAAAGGGTACCTGTCAAATTGTCTCCCCTGTTACAGACTTGGGTGATTTCAGAGATAATCAGAGGAACTCCTGCTATATGTACTCAACTAACAGAGTGGCATTTTGCAATTATTTGAGGTGGGCCTTCATGTGGTGGCCCCTGCAGTCTGGAGTGTTCACTCTCTCTTGAAATCTGTGACCTTCTGTTTTGTTATTTAGATGAAGATCACCCAGTTCTTTCTATGAATATTATGGATGAATGTTTGTTTTTTTCTTTTTTCCCTCCATCTTTTTATTAATTTTTGATTTTATATTGCTTAAAATTAATTATATGTCATCTCTATTTCTTTCTTTTTTATTTGTAAATATTTTGAGATGTGACTAGATGGAAAGCAGCATAGAAATTTATTAAATATGTAATAAATATTAATATTGATAAGAAGGGAGGTCAGTTGCACGTTGGAATTCTGAGAATAGATTGCTGTTGAATGAGGTTTGCTTATTCACAGAATCACTGTCATGTTAATATCAGTTACAACACTCTCTAGCTTGTCTCCAGTAGGATGTTCTTTACTGTCCCTGGTTATCTTCATCTGTTTTTGGCAGGTGGGCATACTTGCAAACAAGGCCTTGGTCTACAGCCACCCATCCTTTCTTTACATTTTCAAAGAACACCCATGGAGTCTATCAGGTGATAGCACAGACTGGCTTTGCTTTGCAGTATGTCAGCATATATATATAAAATACAAGAAATTTTAATTGTAATAAAAGTACTTTTTATTGGAAAAAAAAACTTTCGTGAAACAGATTCCTTGGGCCTGTGGTACGTTGGTGCTGTGGGCAATATGTTGGGGACCTAGGTGATAGGATGTGACAAATCCTACTTTGACTATTTCCAGGCATATCTTGGTCAAATTTTAATAATATTGATAGTAATGGAGACTTCTCTTCCTTCCTTATCTTTAGGGTCAGAAGAATTGGATAGATAACTTTTAGCTGTAATTGTACTGACATATTTTATCTGTCACTAGATATAAAAACATTTAAATATTTAACAGAGAAGTTAAGTATGTGGTAGGTTAAAAATAAAACAAGTTAGTACTAAACATTTCAAACTGAAAAACACACGACAGTTGAACTCTTTATCTATGAAGCATTTTGTTGGCAAAAAACAGCTTCTCTGTTGGCAATATACAGTGTGCTGTGAGATTATTAAATTTATATGATTTCAATTTTGTCTTAAAGAGATGGTGGCAGTAGCTACTTAATTCTATTAGAAGCCTTTTTAATTTTCAAGTTAATAATGAGGTTATTGGCAAGATAAGTAAAGCATTCTCAGTTTTGCTCATGAAGCTAATGTGGATGAATGATATTTATTGCTTGATTCAAAGGTTCAGCAGAGTAGAGCCCTCATGACAAACTAGTATGTGGCTGTGAAATTTGCACTTAGAAGTAAGATGCCAAAAATATGAAAAGTTGCTCCTAGGATCTCATGAGTCTTTAATGCATGTTTCATCATTTGTAAGCTTACCAGCAGGACATAGAAATAATTCTCCTTACCGCAAATTGCCTTTTGAACATAGAGGTTTCATTTTGCTAAAGCCAGTAGCCATAAGTTTTTGGCTTTCATATTTTTAATTTTGTTAAAAGCATCTGAACTTGACTGAAAGTTGTCAGAATTCGTATACTTTCACTGAAGAATATATAATCAACAACATGTAAATACTGTAATTTGCAGGGCATATGTCTCTCCTCAGCTCCACCTATGTGATTGCCAAGTTTATTCTTTTTGGGCATCTTGCATAGTGTTGTGTACTCCAAAAGAGAATAACTATGATGGATTTGTATAAATATATATGTGGCCCAAGTGGACCCAAATATCAATAGGTTAGGCAGCTACAGTATTAATAATAATTTTAACAAGTTGTAATAGTAATTTTTGTTTATAGAGCTTCTAGGTTACATCTTACAAATTTCTATTTTAGATTTAATTCAGATGCCTTTATTTTATATTATCTTTTTCAGCCATGGAAGAATTAATAGTTGAACTGCAGCTGTTTCTTCAACTTCTGGACCATGAATACTTGACATCCACTGTCAGGGAGAAGAAAGCAGTTTTAAATAACATTCTTCTAAGGATACAGGCAACAAAAGGTCAGTGTCATACTGATACTGTTTACACATAGGATGCTCTAAAGCAAAATGCAGAGACCGAAAGAAAATAACTGAAATCCTCACCTCTGCCATCAGATATACCAATTCTGTATCTATGCAAAATACCTTAAACGTTTTCTGTGCTGTTTGTCTTGTTTGTGCTGTTTCCCTATGAGGAAGTTCTGTAGGACTTGCTTGAAGAATGGAGATATGTCATCATTTCCATTTCATTCTCTTCTGTTTAAGGTATTGGCCTAGGAACAGGGAGGCCCAGGTCCTTGGGGCCACTTCCTCTCTCTCAGGCCAACCTACCTCACGAGATTCTTGGAGAGAAAAATGTGGGGGGGGAAAGGCTATGTACACTGCCTTAGAGTTCTGGAGGAAAGGCAAGATACATATCTAACAAACACCCAAAGAAATATACTGGACCTTATACTAGCTGGGAATTTGGGGAGCTATATCCAACAGTTCTGGAGAACATTCGATTGGGAAAGGCTGCCATAATATAGATTAATAGTTTTGTGTATTTTTTTTTTAGATTTTTTATCCCACCTTTATTATTTTTATAAATAACTCAAGGTCACGAACATACCTGATACTCCTTCCTCCTCCCATTTTCCCCACAACAAAAACCTTGTGAGGTGAGTTGGGCTGAGAGAGAGTGACTGACCCAAAGTCACCCAGCTTGCTTTCATGCCTAAGGAATCCAGCTCTTGTTATTCATTTAAAGGGCTAATTTTTTGTTTTTTCCTTTTTTGTTTCCTATATATATATATGGAGATATTGTGGAAAGTCATTCATTCCATTAAGTATTTTCCATTCTAAATGCACTTTTCCCTCTCCATTAGACTTTGAGATAAAGGAAAGTGTACAGAAACAAGAGATTGCCATCAATTTACCTGCGCCACCTCAGATGCCTTTGCCAGAAATCCCCCAGCAATGGCTGGTAAGTCTGTCTTAAGAGATCTTTTTTCTCCTTTCCTCAGAGTATAGTTTTTAAACTGAGCTACAAGCTTATCTGAATTTATTACTTGTTCCTTCTAAATTATTGTATAAAGAATGTTTCATTTATTTTAAGTAATAATTTAATTACAACCAAATATTATTCCATCACAAATTGATGTCTTCCACACTTTCAAAATTCACGTAAAATCTCATCTAAATATTTATTTAATGTTTTGTTATTATTTAGGGGTGATGATATTTTTAAAGCTGATCAGGCTAAGAAGTGCTGTCAAAACTCACTTTCGCTTTGCTTGGGGAAGCATGAAGTTGGCTTGCACCAGAAGCATCAAGTAAAATCTGGAGTGAATTTTGATAGTATTCCTGCTTTGGTTGGGTGTTTGTAACTAAAGTAGGAAGCAAACCTGGAGTGAGTTTTAAGAAATAGCAAAATTTGTGAGCCTAAATATATGCCAATCATTCAGTCACAACCTTTTTATTTATTTGTTTGTTTGTTTGTTTTATTTAGAGGAGGGTCACAAGAATTCATTATCATTTGGGTAGGAAATGGTATTGCAGATTTTGAGACTGCCTGTTTTAATGCATTAGAAAAGTCTTTGGATAATTGTCTTCCCAAATATTTAACATCTCCCTATTTGGAATTACAAATTGTGTCATACTGATTTTAATGAAAGTGTTGTATTAATAGTCTCAAATACTGATTTTGCCTTATTGATTTGAGTGCATTACAACTCTGTGCTCCTAGCTTTTTAAGAGGCCCTTTGATTTATAGATCTTTTCATTGCTTTCTGATTGGTTGTTTTATTATTTTATTTTATTTTAATATATATTTTGTTAAATATATAATAAATATATATTAAAATAATATATATTTTATTTATATTATTTTAACTCTGGTAATTTTGGGGGGACAGTTTATTGTTATGTACTTGTACTTCTATGGTGGATGTTTTATTGTTGAGATTGTAACCTGCCAAGAGTCACTCAGTTGCAGCAGCCCAAAAAAATGATTGAGTGAATTAGTAAACCGAATGAATGAATATAATAGAATGGTGGAACACTTTAAACACATTTCAGCTTAATTGATGTTGCTACATTAAAAAATGAAAAAATTATGTTTTTGAAATAATGCCTGTTATGTTGTATAGAAGCTGTCAAGGTTTTATAACAATTCGATCAGATTTGAATGAAATATAAAACACCCATTCTTCTTATTAATATTTTCTTCGACTGTTGAATTTGCCTAATAATTTTTTTCTCCCATTTAGCCACCAGATAACGGTCCTCCTCCATTGCCTTCCTCTTCTCTTCCTGAAGGTTACTATGAGGAGGCTGTGCCACTCAGCCCAGGGAAGGCTCCTGAATACATTACATCCAGTAAGTAAAATACACCTTCAAAGGGATGCAAGTATATTTTCTTGTTTAGTTATTTTTATTGCTTTAAGAATATAAAATTCGAGTTAAATTAAAAAAAAAGACTATTCATAAGTTTATATCTCTGATTATAGTATACTTTATTAAAATGATATTCTTTGCACCTGGCCAGCTCACAGTGTTTCTAAATTAACATTAAGATGCTGCAGTACTTACCAGGAATAGTACTGTGTATTTGTTGCATTTCTTGCATATTTAGTCTGCCTTACTGTTCCTAAATAATGCTCATCTTCTCCTGAATATATCTGTAATATGGTCAGAATAGATCAGAGGATGCTGGTCTAAGACAGGTCACAGGTCAAGGTGCTTTGAATTTGAAGGAGAAATCAGTGAAGTGAAAGAAAGACTGAAATATTAGAGCCATGATTCCTGTTCAGGACTTCTTGCTAAGCTCCTGCAAGCAAGAATTTCTGGAGTATCTTCATGGCAATTCAGTATACAATTCATTATAGAAATCTAAATAGGAGATTACTAAACCATAGATTACTATAGCTTCATTGTTCAGATATATTTCCCACCTTTCCTCCAGAAGCTCAAGGTTGCTTACCAGGGTCTCCCTTTATTTTAAGCTCATACTACTCTTAGGGGTAGGTTGGGCTGAGTGAGAGTGACTGACCCAAAGTCACCCTCATGACCGCTTTCATGGATGAGGGCAGAGGTAAACCTGGATCTCCCCATTGCTAGTCTAACATGTTATTGCTACACCCAGCTGGCTCCAAGAGCAGCCTCATGCCATGCATCTAAAACGTTGGATTCCCTTCTCTGGGGAACTGGCCATCACAATGGCAGAGTTAGCTTTGGGGGGACAACTAGGCTAATTCTTCAGGGCCCCACAGTTTAGGACCCTCCAAAATCTTGCATATTTCTTTATGGGTGAAGATTGAACAACCTCTAATGAAATATGTTTAAATGTTATTTCTTGCAACTTATTTTGCATTCATAAAGTTTACTTTTCAGTTCTGAAACAGAAGATCTTGCTGTAATCATACACGGAACATTGCTTAAATGTTTTGTAACTTTCAGGAGAAAACGTGTTCCCACAACCATGTCAGACAGTCATGAGAGTTAGTTAATTTTTCAGTTGCCAACTTCTAGGTTTATCTATTTAATTTTTTTTTTGTATAAAGAAAAATTTGCCAGTTAAATATTTTCTTATTCACATTATAAAAATGTACAAACATAAGGGAAGATTAGCCAAACTTGTTTTGTTACTTTATACTTTTTTAGCTTTGGTATTATTTATGACTCCAGAGTTACCTAATTTTGCTTGTAAAAAATAATGTATCCATAGAATTAAACCTGTGGATTACATAATTCACTGCTCTTAATTGAAGAAAATGTGCTTTTGCCTTAGACGTTATGAGGTTATTCAGCACAATCTGCTTAATTCCAGATGTGACTTTGTCTATGCTATACGGATGATTTTATTTTAACAAATAATATTTTTTTTGCCCCTTAAGATTATGATTCTGATGCAATGAGTAGTTCGTATGAATCTTATGATGAAGAAGATGAGGATGGAAAAGGGAAAAAAATGAGACATCAATGGCCATCTGAGGAAGCATCAATGGACCTTGTTAAAGATGCTAAAATCTGTGCCTTTCTTTTACGAAAAAAACGTTTCGGGCAGTGGACCAAACTGTTGTGTGTGATCAAAGAAAACAAACTATTGGTAATTAAGCTTATGGTTTTTATAGAAGTGCCAGTTGCAGTGTAATTAGGTCCAGCATTATGCTGGAAAGTTATCTGTAAGGCTCAGATGTATTTGCTTAAGTATCATGATTAATTTGCCTTTTCATGGCTTGGCTAGTTTTGGCTTGGCTAGTTTCCTGCACAGAAAAGGAGGCAGTTATGAATGGGTCAGCAGTACCTAGCTTCTGCAGTATACCTTTGTGTTTATTTCTGAAGTATGGTTGCTCACTGCGAAAACATGGGCAGCCAAGAGTGCAAACAGTATCAGAATTCTGACTGAATGATAATAATAGAATTTTGCAGGAGATTTAGGCAAGTTGAAAAAGATAGCCAGAATGAGAGACTGAAGAATATGTAGGAATGCTGTGTAATGCTGGTACTTGGAAGGCATCTTGACATTCAAACAGGCAAGGCTTGATTCTAGCCCTTTCCCCAAAATCCAGCCTTGAATCATTTAAATTATATGCTATAATAATGGATGGTGCTACATTGGAAGAATAATACAACTATTTCAGCCTTAATTTCTGATACTGGCTGCTTTTGACAATTGTTTGCCAAAAGCTGATCTTGAAGAAACTCTCTATGTTCATCTTGAGAAGCTCAATACTGTTGATTTATTCTTAAAAAAAAGTGTTGGAAAAGCATCACCCTGGAACATGTCAGTATGTATGTATGTATGTATGTATGTATTTATTTATTTATTTAATTAATTTACATAGCCACCCATCTCACAAACTTGACTCTGGGTGGTATGCAATAAAACAAAAACAAATCTAAACTAACCATTAAAAACAATTCAATATAAATAAGACCACAGGAGAATGGACCAACATCCTGCACACAATATGACCATCTCGTAGACTCCCTATTTCCATGGGATCCCCAAGCCTGCTGGAAAAACCAGGTTTCAAGAGATTTCTGGAAGGCCAATATGATTGGGACTAATCTCACCTCAGAGAATGATGTTTCAGAGGGTGGGTGCCATGGCAGAAAAGGTTCATCTCCTGGGTCCCATCAGATGAAACTCTAGCAAATGGGACCCATAACATACCTCTCCTGCTGGACCTGATGGGACAAGGCGATGTACATGGGGAGAGGCAATCCTTCAAATAACCTGGTTCCATGCCATGTAGGGCTTTAAAGGTCAAAAACAGCACCTTGAATTGAACCCAGAAGCAAACTGGCAACCAGTGCAGCTCATGGAGCAGAGGTGTAACGTGTTGTTTTAGGAGCACTCATAACTGTCCGCACTACCACATTTTGCACCAGTTGAAGCTTTTGGATGTTCTTCAATGGCAGCCCCATGTAGAACGTGTTACAGTAGTGCATTCAGGAGGTGGTCAGGTGATGAACTACTGTGAGTAGAACCTCATGATCCAGGAATGGGTGCAACTGGCGCACAACACAAAGTTGTGCAAAGGCCCTCCTAGCCATGTCTGCCACTTGCTCCTTGAGCAAGAGCAATGAGTCCAGAAGGACTCCCAGATTGCACACTGGGTCTCTTTGGGGCAGTGCAACTCCAATTACCACAAAAGATGGTAAAGCCCCAGATCTGGAAGGCCCTAAACCCCAAAGCCATTCACCCTTGCCACAGTTCAATTGAAGCCTGTTGCTCTCCATCCAGACCCCAACAGCCCCTAGGCACAGAGACAGGACATCAGGAGCATAATTTAGTTCGCCAGGGGTGGAGATGTATAGGAGTCTCATCAGCATACTGATGATACCTCACCCCATGGCAACGGATGATCTCTCCCAGTGGCTTCATGTAAATGTTAAACAGGAGTGGAGAGAGTACTGAACTCTGTGGAACCCTACATAGTAGAGGCTGAGGGTGGGACCTCTCACCCCTGATCAACATTGGTACTGGCCTCAGGAAGAGAACCAGCTCAATACTGTGCTGCCCACTCCCACTCCATGGAGAAGATCCAGAAGGATACCATGATCAGTGGTATTGAAGGCTGCCAAGAGGTCAAGTAGAGCCAGGATGGATGCACTACCCTCTCCCGCTCCTTCTGGAGATCATCCAAAAGCATGACCAGTGCTGTTTCTGTCCCACACCCAGGCCTGAATCCTGTCTGAAAGGGTTCCAGATAATCTGCTTCAGAGTCCAGAGTCTACTGAAGCTGCTGCATGACCACATTCTCTACAGCCTTTCCTAAAAAAAGGGAGATTGGATACAGGATGAAAGCTGTCCAATATGGTGGGATCTGGTGATGGTTTCTTGAGGAGGGGGCAAACCAACACCTCCTTAGGAGGTGGAGAAACAACCCTCTCTGTCAAGGAAAAATTCACTGCCAGCTGCACACAGGC